CCTGGTCTAAGATCAGTGCTTTCCACAATAGTGCATCTTATGTTAAGGAGAAAACCCAACATTACCATGCAGTTGGAAGAGAGATTGCTCCTGCTCATCTCCCAGTCAGCTCCTTTCATCAGCTCAATGCTGGTTTATGAAGCTGAGAAACACAGTGCAGCCAGTGTCTCTGGTCCTGGTATTTCCCATCATGAACACCTCTGGGATGGGAGTGGGATGATGGATGACCTTGGTAGTCTGTGTTCCATATGGAGTCCCCAGAAAGCATAAAGGCACTTACTGGAGGCTGCAAGCCTTCTCTGACCTGCTGTGTCTCCCACTCATGGCTCAGATTTTGTTCATTGTGGGATGATGGGTCACTTTCTACCTCTACAACTCCTATAATAATTTACTGTACATATATTCATATGCATGCATGCTATCTAGGCTTTCCAGATGGTTGGGTTTTTTTGGTGCCTTTTGTACAATTTTCAACTTCACAAGATCTGTTTAGATTTTTTTTCTATTTATTTTTTAATGTGTTTAAATAACAGGATTGTATTCTGTCAAAAGTAAAAAAGATAAGACTACTGTACTTCTGAACATACTTGGTTTGTGTGCTCAGACTTTTACCTTAACTTAGTTTTAAATCTGCACCTACCATTTTCAGATTCCAGTGAGTAATTTTTAAAAAACAGTGTGGGCCAAGCACCTGAATTCTATAATCTGGTTTGGATGAAAATGCACGTGTTCCAGTCTGATTTTGGTGAGTACATCTTGGACCAAGAGCAAGTCAACGTAAGTTGCAAACTGCAAAAACAGAATGTTTCTCCTGAAAATGTGCAGAAAGCACAGATTGGGAAATAAACACATCTTGTGATAATGATACTGAGGGAGAGAGAAATGCAAAGCATATGAGGGAAGGAGCTGTATTTCTTTGACCATATTGTGCAAACCAACATCACCAGCACTTGTGTGCAACTTGGAGAGTTGCATGTAGTCACACATGGGCACACATTGCACATTGCACAAAGCAACTCCTTTGAGAAGTGTGGCCACTTCTCAAATATGCAGTGAGAGAAAAGGGATGAGAGTCTTAAAATTAGTGCTGTTGTCCTTTAAAAATTGGCTGAAGATAATTGTTTCTTTTAAAGACATATAATAAAGGCACCTTATAAAGGTGTATAAAACAAGATAATTGTTTCTTTTAAAGGCATTCTCTCAAATGGCGCATAAGGAGAGTTAAGTACCTTCCTGCTCCAGCAGAGCACAGTGCCCATCTTTGATGCTATGAAAGAATGGAAAATAAGTTTTGACAGGGATTCAGCAGGTCATCTAAATGGCTCCTATACCAAGGCAGGTGAGCTGGGCCTAAATCATCCCCAGTGCTGACTGTGCTGATTTGTGTTTTGTGAGGCTCACAATACCAACCACAACCTGGTTAGTCATTTTACCCCAATTCTTCCTTTTCCTGCAGCAGTAAGACATGCCCAGCAACGGGAGCCTTCTCAGCACTTGATTTCACTGGTAAAAACAGCTGTTCTTTATCAGGATGAGGGCAACATACTGATCTGTATTTGTGATGCTGAGATTTACTTTAGTTTCTCAATTATGCTCTGAACGCCCAGTAAAGGAGTTCCTAAATACAGGTTTGGGATCCATCTGGAAGGACATAAAAAGTTGTGTAGAGGGCCAAGAGGACATGTTCACACTGTAGGTTCTTATTGGCTTGGGATTGACGCAAATGACTTTTAGGTTACAAAACCTCAAATTTTTGAGCAGTATTTGGCTTCACAAAGACACACCAAATTTTAAAAATTCCTAGCAGTGGGAATGTAGGTACCGTCACATTCTCAGTGTTCTAGATATCCATCTTTGTAAGTCTGCTCATATTTTGTTTATTGAGGCTGGCAAAGAATGGGAGAAGAGAACAGAATTCACCACTTTTGCAGTGTTGTTCTTATCCTGAAGCAGAGTTATTTTGCTATGTGAACACTCTGTAGTGTTTTAATTAAGGTAGCATTATTGCAAACAATTTTAATACAGAGAAAATTGTCTGTTCTACTTTTGTTGCTGTTTTATTTCAGATAAAATATATTTATTAAGTAAATAAAATAAAAATCAAGTCTTACTTTCAACATCCCATGCCACAACCAATATTTTAATTCGTGCTGTGTTTCTGTACCTTGTAAAGAATAACAACGAGCATCCATCTAAATCTATCTTCCTGATAGATTTGGTTGCTCAGAGCAACCACACAAAACCTTCTGCAAGAGCAAATGCTCACTAAACTGGGTTTTCATGTGTTGGGTGTGGTGTTTGAGAGGAAGCAGGTACTGCAGAACTGATAAATGTGAAGTTGCTTTCCTCTTAAAATACACCTTGAATCCACTGATTCAAGTGTCAGCTCCTTCCATACCTTTTGATACACTGATATATTAATTACATGTTTTTGCTGTTCTTGTGAAATCTATTTGAGTCAAACCACCCTACTGTCATATTTGGAATTATTGAGGTTGTATCAGCATTTTTATTATTACTGTCACTAGTGTATGGTGCTATTTATAAAGCAGAGAATAAAATATACCTTATGTGTGCAATTATGGCATTTCAAACCATGTTGAGATGAAGAAAAATAGCATTTCCCATTGGAAAATATTTTGATTAGAAATTATTCAGTAAGTGCCTTTAAAACTCAGCCTTTTCTACAAAACCCAAGTGTGATGACAGCCCTAAAGTCAGTGTGTATGTTATACCAATATTTTTGTGGCTGAAATCATCATCCCTTGGCTGAAACCAAAGCTTCCATAAAGACTGACACAAGCACACCAAAGCTGCAAATAATATCCTAAACCTCAGATTCTGATCTGACTTTTCAGAGCACTCTACTAAACAGAGCAAGAAAATATCATTATAGAAGAAAGAGAACAATCAGTGTAATAGTAAAGCATTTCCATTTTGTACATCCACATGAACGGAACTGACTGTGAAACAACTTGCACTTACATATTGTAAACTCTACATTATTAAAACTGACATGTTCATCATTAAACTCTCTATATTATGCACATTTCTTTTACAATCAGCTCATTTGTGTCTTTAGAAAGCAGGAATGACTTCTGCAGCCCTCCTGGGAAATGCAGTGTGCCCCAAAGCTATTCAGAATAATACAGATTCATAGCAGAGCCACTTTATTGTCTTTAACAACTGGCTCCTCCATTTCCTATTGTTCACTGGTGAAAGTAGAAATAGCAATATGAGAAATACTGTTGTTTGAAAAAATAACTGTCTTTGTATTCCTTGAAGTCTGAAAAAATAGGTATGTGGCTTGAACAAACACACACGATGGTAGGTTCTTGTGGGTGTTCCGCTGGATCGACCACGTGATGACCTGAACCGCCAGCAGACAATTCCTTCTTATTCCCCAGCTCCTCTTTTCTTCTACAATTGGCAGAGCTGGCAGCTTCCTCCTCATTCTGGGGACAACGTGCCACGGTGCACAGCTGGTGGGTGTGCTGCTGGTGAAAACAGAGCAGCCTCCTTCCCTGCAAGGCATTGCCTCATGTGTGGACAGGGTGAATCTGGTCCCTCCCCACAGTGCTGGCTTTACAGCTCTGCCTCATGAACTCATTCCTGGAAGGGACTTTTCCAGTGACATGGTGACTCATGTAGCTAAACACATACATTTTTTCTCCATTTAAAATCTACAAATTGAGGGAAAAGCTTAGAGTCTGGTTGTGTCAGGGAAAGAAAATCAGCCTGGCTGGATACAATATTTAAAAATGGTTTCAAATCACTGTGGGGGAAATGGCCTCATGTTTTTGAAGTCTACACTGAACTGCGTTGCGTTACTCATTCCTGAACATTGAAGAGAGTTGTCCATTGCTCATCCAAGTTAAGAGGGATTTGTGTGCTAATTTCAATAGAAGCAGAAATAGATCATAAAGGCATTTGGCAAGATTATGTAATGATTAGGAACTCAGGAGAGCAACCAGATTCTAAAAGTAGATGCTTCCTGTGCCAAGATATTGGTTCCTGATTTCTTTCATGGGAACATTTCCTGCCATGATCACAAATTTATACCAGAGACAAGCATTCACCTAGCACTCAACTCAGAATGCCTATTAAATAAAACATAGTCCCCAAATAAAATTCACAGCTTATTCAGAATGAGAGAATTGTGTCTTAAAGATGAGTTTCTGGGCAGAGTAATAGGGTGACAATATTACCTATAAATAAATATTCTTGAACTACCAGTATTGTTAAACAAAATCTATTTTGAGATGCCTTCAGGACTTTTGTGTCATTAAGCCTGAAGAATTAATTTGTTTCTCTGAGGGTGTTTGAGATCTTGGTATGCAATGACTATTTTGCCTCAATTTGCTTTATGCCCCTGCTAATGGGACGATAATATTTTGGGGTATCCTTTGGGAATGGCATTATTTTGCGGCATTCTTTGGAAAGCATCAAGATTTCAATACTTTGGAATGATTTTCTGCTGTTCATATAGTTGATTTTTCTTGCAATGTGCAAAATCTTTTAAGCAGTCATCAAGCTCATTATAAGGGAAAAATATGGGACTCCAAGTCAGTTACTCTTTGTGAAAGTTGATGGTTTAAAACCTAGTGTTAAGGAAAAGTACCAAAAGCAAAAAGTGCTGAAAGTTTTCAATTGCCACATACTGGTTCTTTCTTTCCTATTTGCTATTGGCTACCTGGAGCTGTTACAAATGTCAGATGGTCACTTCATACAGGTATCAGGAGATGTGGAGATTGCACAGCCTGGTGGGCAGGTCCATGATCAATCCCTGCTGCAGTGCACAGGAAGAAATGCTATTCCAGGACTGCATCACACTCCCTCTACATCATTGCTGTCAGAGGTTGATGTGGTTTGAATAGGATGTGTCCTTCTGCCTGGGCCTACACTGGCACAGCATCTTGGACTTCCACACTCCCACCCTTCTCCCCAGTTTTTTCACAAGCAGAACATGAAACGATGTATTTGCAGTGGCTGGCGCTGAGCTAGGCAGACGTGTCTCCAGATTTTAATGCAACCAGTTCAGAGTCCTCTACGTATCTTCCATTTAACTGTTCATTGTTGGCATCATGATGGTACAGGTACACAGGGACCTCAGTGATTGACGTGGCCGTGTAGGAGGTAGATCGTGTGGAACAGTGCTCTCGGCGCCTTTGGCCCCACTGGGTTTTGTACTGCGTCCATTGCCTCTTCAGAGCTCCTTGGACCTGCCAGGGACACACACTGTTAGGGTGAGGCATAATGTAAACCCCTGTGACAGGAAGGAAAGGAAAAGGAAAAAGAAAAGCCAATGCTGCAGCTGGATTATTGCTCCTGAAAAGCCTAATGCATTTTGATTCCTGAAGAAGCTCAGCCTTGAGTAATGAGAATTGCCATGAATGGTAAAGTGTAAGTACACTTCATGAGCTTGCCAGGACTAATTTTGTAGAGAGTTAGAGGATCAGGACAGCTAAACAGAGATTTTATTCTGGCAATTTAAGAACAGGTTCTGTGCTCTCAAAATATAGAATGGTCATAACCCTCTGCATGGCAGAGGATTTCAAACTTTGAACAGTCATCTGCTAAGAATAAGATATTTTATTCAACACTATACATTAAGAGTAGTGTTATACGTGGTACTGGGAAAGGATTTAAACTATTGAGTCCTGCCAGGGAATAAGAAGGACTTCTCCAGATGCATGTCCATGCATGGCAGCTCTTGATAGTGTTGTGACATGAGCAGAAAGTGGGCAAATCCTGGCTCTTTTTGTTTAAATCTGAACAACACAAAGCAAGAATAGCACAATAATCTGAGGTAAATGACATCTCCAGGGTGCAAGGTGCAAGTAAAGCGCTGTGATGACAGAGTCTACAAGTTTCTGTGGTCCTGCTGAGGTGGATACATTTGGAGAATGTATTGCTATTCACCTTCTCCTAACACAGAAAGGAAAAAACCAAATGGCTCTGTGGAGGTTAATTAGATATTGAGTGCAGGAAAGGCATATGGTCATAATGGAACTTTAATTACTTGGGCTGTGAGGAAGGTTTACTATGCCAATGTGGAGAATTAAAGTGAAACAGCTGAATATGGCGATGTTTTATCACATTATCAGCCAAGTTTATTACTGAGAAAGAATTACTGTGTCAAATAGTAATGCAGTGGCAGCACTTGATACAGAAATATTACACAAGCTAAACTATGTAAAGATTTTAGTCACTTTAAAATTGCCTTTTGATGTTACAGTATGAATATTTTAGCTTTGTTACCCAGAAGCTATGGGGAGGGACTGGAAGAAGAAATCTTCAGAAGTACGAGGACAGTGACTTTCCCCATACCTCACTGGGTTGGGGGCGTCTAGGGCAGACAAAAGGAGGTTAATGCAGAAAACTTGTGTGTGCACAGTGGCTCTGTCTGTCTGCAGACCCCTCTCCCCCACTCCACCACGGTCACCACCCATTGTGCAGTTCTGCTTTCACCTCTGCCCCGAGCTGACCATGTGTGCATTTCACAGCACTTCATCCATTTGGATTCATGTCAGCATCTCTAGTGAAGGCAGCAAGAGCCTGCTCTTAGAGAATTTCTGTTCCTTTCCTATCCTTCTCCTTTCTCTGCTCCCTGCACAGACCCTGCATCCCCTTTGATTGCTCTTGCATGGGGAGAAGAGCTGCTGTGCAGGTGAGAAGCTCCTGATAAGCTCTCCAGCTGCTCTCAGCTGAACTGGAGTCTGCCACAGGTGTGGAGATTATAGTGTGGTTAACTGGAGAGGGAAGAACAATGTCCCTGTCTTCAGAGCCTGTCATGAGGAGTTTATAATTTTTTTCTTCAGAGGGAGTGATGTTTACACTGTATGTATGGTGGGTAGACAACAGCCACATCCCTTCCAGCTCAGCCCATGATCAGAAGTGCCATTATAAAAGTCTAAAAGGCTCCACAGAGCAATAAGAGCACAAGGTCAAAGTGTCTTTTTTTTGGTTTTCTGCTGAGCTGCTTGTTTGTTCAAGGATCTGGCCACAGATGGCTAATGGATTGTACAAGTTGCTGCATTTGAGTAGAACTTGCTAATCTAGTTTTCTGCCACGATTCCAAGAATCTCAGATGATCATAACTCAGTGCCAACTAAAACCATTCAGGCATGGATTTTAAATATGTAAACAGCATTACTGAAAATCACATGCACAGCCACGACATATTAATGACTGAGGAGGCACCTGGGGACCACGAGGTGCATGGTGATGCCTGCCATGCTTTCCACTAAGATGGCAGATAAATGAAGGCAAAGACTGAAGCAATGAAGAACCCAAGTTTATTTGCTCTGGTCTTCAAGACTTTAATGTTTTTTCTGTTCTCTATTAGCCATTCACACCTCATTGGCTCATAAGATACATGGCTGTTTTTTCCCCAAATAGACTTTCCATTCTGTTGTCCAGCCTTGCAGTCTAGAAGCAATCCCAGGCTTGAGAATGCGGTCTGGTGAGCAGACTATTGCAGAGACCTTGTATCATCTGTACAAAACTGTTGCTGTTGGACAGAGAAACTGCAGTTCTACTGGACACCAAGATTTTATATGAAACGGTACAAGAAGATTTTTCATTTTGAAAGTAAAAAACCAAACATTGTTTATGTGTTCTTCCAGATGAATGCAGACATTAGTACAGCTTTTTATTATTATTTTTAGATTTCTTTCTATAGATGGGCTCATGGTAGTAAAGTGAGGTTAGTGAAGCAGTGGTGATGAATGCACTATAAAACACGCTAAAGTGGTTCTGAGTTTAGCATTGTTTGTCCTGGCTGAGCTTCACGTATTTCTGTCTTGAAGTTAAATGTTCCAGTAGGAAAAAGTAAATCCCAGATTAGCCAAGCTTCTGCAGTACTAAAATTAATCTCCTTGCCCCACACTGAATTTTCTCGTGAGAAATAATTTTAGCCTCTATGGCAGCAGATGTATGCAGCAGCTTGGAAACAATCTTATATTATGACTGAAGACCAGATTGTCTTTGGTCTGTGTACTTCTGCATACACCAGGACTGAGGGAAATTAGCTCAATTTTCTTGGTCAAACTCAGAGTAGTGCTTCCTTTGGAAGGCCCTGATACCAGTTTGGCATTAGACTGTTGCTCTTTTTCTATAGGTTTTGTGCCTTATATATCTACAGATTGTGTAACTGCAGAAATAAATGGGAGGAAAGGACTACAAGCCTTTCATCCTCTCCTGGCCCAGCACATCCCAGCCCAGCCCAGCTAATCTAGGGCATGAACTTTGCTGGGTGTTTATGGGTAATGTGCTGTTGCAAGTAACACCAAACTGTCTTGAGTCTGTATTAGAGAGGTGTCATCAGTGACACTGCTCACCTTAATGGGATATTCTAGAAAAAGCTTCCCTAAATAAATTTTCCTAGAAGAAAATAATGAGAGGTTTTCCAGCGCTCCTGCCATTGGCAATCTGCAAATCTGAAGCAGATGCAATGATTTTGAAAATGGGTGTAATGGTGAAAAGTACCCAAGCACCAATAAAATCACTCTCAGCAAGTCTGAGAAACCTGTGTCCTCACAGTCATTTGTTCTTAACACCTGACTTTGATCCATGTTTCTGATCAGCTGCTCCACCAAGAAGTCATCAATCATGCATATTGGCAAGCAGATGCTTCAGATGTATTTCTTAGTGCATACTTTGAGAATTATATTCCTGGGGTTGTAAAGGTGGGCATGCTCTTCTGACATCGTAGCTTAGCCAAAAGTACTTTGGAATTAGAGCTAGTTGATGAAACTAAGAAACTAATATGCTTTAAGATAATTTATGTTTTCAGTGCATTTTATTGTGACCTTTCCTCATTTTTAACATTGCTACAACCTTTAATCTAGGCAAATATGGATGTTCTCATTAGAGATGGAGAATCAATCTCCTGCACTAAAGCTATAAAACATAAAGATAATTTGTTTTGCAAAATCTGAAAAAAATGCAGGGGACACTGTGGGGATGAAGAAGGCAAAGTTCAAGACCAAGATTTTGGGGTAACACATTGTTTGGAGGCCAGTGAGGAGACACTGGAGTACTGCTTGTACACAGTGATACAGTCACTCTTATAGGCAGAGGATGTTTCAAAAACTGCCTGACTTGTCTCTACTTTCTTCACAGTAGCTCCTCCATACTAGGGAGTATCAGAAGTTTGTCTTTGTTTCCAGGGCATGGATATTCAGCTGTGTCAGAGTGACGACAGTAAAGCAGAAGGAGAAAGGTGATAGTAGCCTGCGGATACTGGGGACAGAAATGTGTTAGGAAAAGAGTTGTACATGTCTTCAACTTTGTTTAGTTGGATGCATGAAACTGTGAACTTCTGTAGCGTGATCTCACTTTGTGTGAGGTTCTGATGTGATTAGCTGCTCACGTTTTGCCGTTCCCTGCCATGCTTCCTGAGGAGCCATGCTACAGAGCTGCAGCTGAGGCCTCTCATCTTTTTCATTCTTCAGTTTCTCTGTACATTTATGCAGGGAGCCAACCAGAGGCAAATATGCAGAGATGTTGACAAATTGTGGCAGAATTTAATACTCTCTGCTATCCTGAATGTTATCAAAGCAGCCAGTAACACCTTACCAATAGGATAGCCTGCTTCTAGTCTCTATCAAAACATCAGTGTGGTCATGTCCTTACATGAAATTTGTTGGTTTCTAATAATATAATACATTAATATAGAATATTGATATAAATATATTAATATTATATATTCTAATAATATAATAATGTATTTGCTGGTTTCTAATAATATACAGGGATAAACAGGAGCACAAATATCTCTCTAGGTTTACTTACTGATTGTTAGCATCACAAAGTTTTTTCTGTATCTAATTCTAGTTCATCGAAAATGAACTTTTAAATGGACTTCCTAGCTTTGCTAAAACATGTGGTGTTTTATTTTGCTACAGTTGAATGCTCTTGATGTGTTGAAAAAGCTTTTTTCTGCCAACCATCTTTGGAAAATGGCTTGCTGCAGGAATTTAAATGGTTCTTGACATATTTTAACCTGCTATTTTTTGTAAAAAAATGAAGTAAAGTGGATCTAAAACCCGCTGTAGGTGTATATTCATATATATGATCCAGCGGTAAGAGACTGGGAGAGATCTTTGCCTCAAGGGTTTTTATTTCTCAATTGCTACACAAGAAACATTGACTGTAAAAAGGCCAATGCTAATCCTTAAAGGAGCTCAAGCAATTGCACTCCTCCACCTCTGACAGTGCTACCAGGGATGCATTTGCCATGGCTCTGGCCTGAGCTCCCCACTTCATTCTTCAGACAGATCTCTGAATGTCTTCCCTGCCCTTATTGAGTATTGTGGTCCTTCCTGCTGTTCTGGGGCAGGAAGGTGCGTAAAGCATTTTTCTCCTTCACTTAGACCTCCATGTCACACTTGAAGTTAGTAGGGCAAGAGTGTCATGCCTGTACCTCACTAGATGCCATCTGCTTTGTAATGGTAACAGATCTGATTAATCTGCTCAGGGATATTCCAGTCACTCTGCACAGAGCTGACAGAAATGCACACCGCTGCTTGTGTGTAGAGAGTAAAAGCAACTTGGTGTGGTTTCAAAGTCTGTAGTGTGACATACTTCACATCTGCACTTATGAACAGCAGGATGACTATTTTACAAGTTCTGCTCATTTTCTGCATTTCACGTACTTACCTCACCATTGAAGAAGCAGAATATGGTAGCCACAAGTAAGCCCTAAGAGAAGGAAAGGAAAAGAGTTTAGGGATGAGAATATATAGACTTCATCATGTTTTGGAAATTTGGACTTGATGGATATGAGATAAAAACATTAATCCACTTCCTCTGCATCACAAACACTCCCCATCTTTCACAGGTATGCTATTAAATGGATTTTTTGTCTTTTCATAATGTTTTACTGTTTCCCTCCCTTGCATTACTACATTTTATAGATTTTCTGTTATGGCTATGAAGTTATTTATATATAAGAGATGGAGAGAAGGAAAATAAAAGGTAGGTATGTATTTTGCTTACAGAGGAGAACCACACTACCACAGATTTTGCTGAAGGAATGGTAGAGGAATTTTGTCCTATATGTTGACACTCACTCATCAGAGTGTAACTATCCAGTCCAAAGGGCCAGACACAGAGAATCCAGCTGTCTCAGGAAGGCTTTAAATGGAACTGTATGTCAGGCTTTAAGAGAACTGGTATATTGGGCATGACAATGGATGGAGAGGATATGAGAAGAGGTGTAAGTGGCCAGAAAAAGGAAAAAACCTACCACAGCACACGAGTTAGAGGGCAGGGAGGCAGAAAAAAAGAGACACTGAGCATCATAGCTTGGTCACAAATGGCTTTAAGCTAATTTCATCATCACCAGAGTTGTTCAGATAGCATTTCACTACTGCTATGAGATTAAACAGGGCCAAGGCAGGAATATGAGATGGCAAAGTGTGAAATTAATAAGAGAGAAAATTCTTGCACAGAAAGCCTGCCATTCAGGATTATGTGGTTACACTGGTCCATGTCCTAACTGCACTTGCTCTTATTAAAATAGCATTACATAGCATCACTGGGAGCCAAATGCCTTAATTTTGAATTACTTAAAGCAATTATTATAAACTAAACGTATGGCAGTTTGTGAAATTGAGGGGAAAACTGCAATGCAGCTTATGCTCCCAAGGGCTGCTCTGAAGAGCTTTACAGCTGTATCTTTTCTATAAAACCTTCATTTAAATGATTACCAGTTGAATTGTAGATAATGCTTTGCAAAATGTCTTGGAGTCTCAGATGTATATTTTGTGCCACAAACAGGATAAGGAATAACTTTTAAACAGAATGCTTATATAGGGATATACAGGCTGGTTTGGACAAATGCTGACCACTTGAATAATGACAATTATTTCTCTCCAATAGATTTTCTCTGATGCAGAATTTGTAATTTGACATAAATTCAAATATCAACATGAAACAGCACATAGGAGGAAGATGAAGGGCAGACATAGTGAGAAATAAAAGTTTCCTTTCATATTTTGGCAAAGAAGTGAGTATTTTCAGAAAACTCAAATCCCACCATGTAGTAAGCAATACACAATACCTTGTCCATAAGTTTTGGGCTGAGAAAGTCTACAAATTCAAACAAAACCTTAGGGCTTTAGAGCAGGACTTTGCCGACCAGATGCTCCTAAATCAAAATTTTTGCAAGGGTAGAAAATGCGCCGGTTCCTCGCAGCCTGTACCGATGCTGTTTGTGCTGTGCACAGCTGGGCACAGCCTCTGCTCTTGAACTGCACTGGGCACCCTTGTAGCTGAGCTCTGCTATTCTGCCAATGTGGTTTCACTAGGCAAACCAGATGGATCTGGATCTCCTCTGGAAGCAGGGATGCTCAGGGACAGTCTACATGAGGCATGGCAAACCAGAAGACAGCATGGGGAGAGAAAGAAGGTGGGGGAGAGAAGGGAGCAGCAGGGAAATTTTTTTCAAGTTTGCTCTTCAGTGAGAGTGTTTAGGGGGAATGTGGGAACCTCAGTTCACCTAAAGACATAAATTGAACCTGAACTGAAGTGAAGCCACTTTCCATTTAAATTTCTGCATGGTATTGGAATCCTTCTGTTCCATCCTGCAATTGCTCCACTTTTCTGCTATTCAAGAGTGTAGTTCCCTTAACTAATGTTTTCTCTTGTCAACTTCAGACAGAAATGCTAAAGAGGAAGGTGGAGCAATGCCTCATATCCCTTTCAGTTTCTCTTCTAGTTTAGAGTGAGCTGAAAGTATACCTGGCTTCCTGTTATTTGAGACCATGTATGTTGTATATGTTCTGGCTGAAGAATTAATTCTCTGTAGTCTGTTCCATGTATATCCCATTGCTCTTCTTCCACCTGCCACGGCCCTCTGCACCCTGCCATCTATCTTTCTATTATTTCTATTTCTCTTTCTGTTTCTATTATTTATATTTCTATTCCTTTCTATTTCTTCTTTTTATACATAAAGTTTTGCCCATAGTTCAGAAGGCTATTGTTATCTTCAGCTGTAAAGCTACGAAGATATCAGTAGCAGACACCAGCTTTGTCTCTCTGGAGCCAGGAGGGCTTGGGATGACCATAATTCTATAGTGGATCTAGTAAAACATGTGACAGACTACATGTAGGTTAATTATTTAATTTAAGGCTCATGAGTTATTTCTCAGATCTCTTTGACACATCTCTTCCAAATTCTAACTGCTGCTAGTTTTTGCTCAGGATACAATGCTTACTGAGGATGAGATGTCTAAGTCAATTATATCTCTCTGCCACTGTGTGGAGTTGTTAAACTAACCTGTGATATATTGTCTGCTCCCAGCTAGACAATGTTGGCTGTGGTGTTGAAAGTGGAAATGAAGAATATATTTATTTTAGGATGAGGGCCTTTAATGACTTCTTCTGAAATTCTGTATTTCTGAAATTATGTGAAGAACAAATGAATGTGGCTTTCAGCTGAATCATGTCATAGGGATTGTCCAGAGACAGCAGCTCTCAGACCCTCACATACCTTACTTTATTAACACTGTATTGAGTTTTTTCCAGTGTTTAAATAGACCAGTAAACTGTACTGGTCCAAGTAAATTCTTTGCCTGGCAGGTATTTAATTTGTATCTCATTCTCCTAGAAGACATGAGTGCCTTGAAGAGAAGTTTGAGTAATTTGCTCAGGTTAGAAATGGACAAATAACAAATACCAATGCAGATACTACAAATTTACATAGGTTTTCATACCTCTTTTTACTTTTTTTATATGAGCTTATGTCTCCATTAAACCAAGAAATCATATATAGGAGCACTTATTCCTGCTGTTTCTGACCATGTCCAGGGCCGTAGTTCCTGCCTTAATCAACCATACACTGGGTAGCTGATGAGATTTTAGTGGGGTTATATATTCATTATTGATATTAGAAGATAATATATAGGTAGTCATAGAATAAAAATCAGTTTTTGATCCTCTATGTGGACTTTGCTCCATGTCCATTCACTTCTCACTTCTGGAGCTGAATGGATAGTAAAAAAAAAAAAAAAAAAAAAAAAGAAAAGCATGGCTGAGGTTGTTTGTAGAAGTACATCCCATTCTCATTTTGGCAAAGATGAAAAGCTTTGAGAAAAACAGCAGTGCTTTTCTCACCACCTTCATTCACAGCACACCCATACAGCATCTCTGAGGTAAATGACTGCGTTATGAATTGTTAATTTATGTTACGTGAAAAAAAATAACCAAAGCAAAGAATGTGTCTGTGCAGTTTCTGCTGCCACTGAGGTGGGGAGATTGTCATGAGAAGGCTGAAGACAGCAGCCCACCTGCTGCAAAATTATAGAGACATCCCATCAGCCAAAGCTCATGCTTTGCTTCTCCTGCTCCCTATGGGGATTTCATTACTGTCATTTTTTGCATGAAAGCTTCATATAAAGTTGCCACGTTATTATATTCAGCTTACAAAATATATTTTCCCTAACCTTAATTGGCTTAAAATATTAAAAAGTTTTTAGACTACTAGTAATTCAAAGAGAAAAAAAAAAAAGAAGAAAATATAAAGAAAAAATGCTTATGTTGTCAAAAGCAGTCCTATAACCTTAAGTTTGAACAGAAGGAGAAAATATTTCTGCCTGGTTTGGCATTACAGAGGATATTTATTTCATTTTAAACTGAGAAACAGATGGAATGAATACCTTCTAAAATACATTGAAATTTCTCACTATTTTTAACAGGCTACTTTTAAATGGGTAAATTTTGCTCTGTATAAGGCTGCATAGAGAGTGGAATTTAAAACTTGGAGGCAGTGTGGATATATATGCAGCCCAAACCCAGGCCTAAAAGATTCGAAATATCCTTGTACTAGACCAGGCACCTCTGAGCTGCATCCTCCTGCCTGACAGGGTGGGTGCTGCAGTCCTGAGAGTGCTGCTTGGAAGCTGCTGAGTGGCACACAAGGGATCTCACTTGTAGAGAAAAAGACAGTGGTTATTTTCTGTTCAGCAGGAAAAAAAACCCTTTTCATTTGCCAATAAAAACCAAGGCTCTTATGCTGAAGAGCATTTTAATTTCTCATTAGAGGTAGACTCACACATTTAGAGCCTCAGTCACCAAGGTATTAAGAGCAGCTTTAGCTGCTTGTGTACTGCTGTTGATTCAGGGGCTGTTCCTCCACCCCTCCGTCACAGACCTCCACAGTGACAGTGCCATTTTATGTAACCTCTAGAAACCTGGCTTGAAGGTGCTGGAGATAGAATGGGACAACTGGTGTAGGGATCTTGAAAGCTGAGGCTTATTCATCCCCAGGCTGGTTTGAGAGCTCTGGGGACTGTGTCTATATATGGGACTAACTGATGCATCATACAGTTAATTTTCTACTCTTCCTTTTTTCCTGTGAGGTGCTTGCCATGCATCAATGTCAGAAATGAGAAGCTGGGATCAGAACCTCTGATGGAAACACAGCACCCCAATCTCTCTACAGCCTGGGGCTTCTCAAAAGGTTGTCAGTTGTTCCAAGGATGAAGGAAGCATCAGCTCCAGCTCCAGCACCAGCAGAGGTGCAGGAGGCCCTGCCAGGTAATCAGGCACAAGCCACACCTCTCTTGCTCTATCCTGGAATGGAGACCTGAATGCAGCTACATGTAGGAGCGAGGGCTGTTGCTATGTCACTCTTTCACAGGACGCATTCCCTTTGCCCAGGTGTATCATTTTGTCTTCACTGGGCAGCATGATGGGGTTTTCAGGCATTTGACAGATGTGTTTTCATACCAGAGGTATGAAAAGGAGCAAGGAGCTGGCATATCCAGTACCCTAATGCTTTACAGGCTGAGGGAGTTTGCATCTTTCCTGTGATTTCAGCATCATCAAACAAGTTTGAAAAATGAGGTCCTTTAAGGTAGATCTGCAACTCACTGTCTCTTGTGGAATGCAAATGTTTGCTTTGTGGTGCCTAATTTAGGAGCTCTGCAAAACAAGATAGCTGTGTGTGTTCATCCATGCATCTACAGCACCCCAATCCATGCACATAATTCCAATTAAGGTCTGCTGGTTTTGTGTGGGGTAGCTGGTGTGGGGCTCTGCTGTGGATGTGCTGGATACAGTGTTGATAATGCAGGGATGTTTTAGCTATGGCTGAGCAGGCCCTCCAAAAGTAAAAGCCTTTGCTGCTTTTCATCTCACTCCACCTTGAGTGGGTTAGGAGAGCACAAGGAATTGGGAGGGGATGCAGTCAGGAGAACTGAACCCAGCTGATCCAAGGAATATCCCAGATCATATGGCATCATCTTCAGCATATGAAGTGGGAGAAGAAGAAAAAGAGGGATGTTAGGATTGCTGGCTTTTTTTGGTCCCAGGTAAATTTTTACATGTGGTGGAGTCCAACTTCCCTGAGGATGGCTGAACAGCTGCTTGGCCATGAGATGCTGAAAATGAATTCTGTATTTTGCTTTGCTTGCATGGCTTGTGTGGCTTTTGCTTTATCTACTAAACTGTCTTTATCTCAACTCATAAGTTTTCCCTGTTTTCACTTTTACCCTTCCAGTCCTCTCCTTCATGCCAGTGCAGGGAGTGAGTGAGTGGCTCTGTGGGGCTGAGTTGCCAGCTGGGGTTAAACTACAATGTAATGGCTGAAATGTCTTTCTCTTGCCTGGTGTACTTTTCATTTCAGCATTCTGGAGACTAAAAAGATGATCTTGGTGATGGTGAGAAGACATATGAACCTCCACATTTAGAGGATTAATGGGAATTTGGGTAGCAGGTCAGGAAAAGTGTATGCATTCCCATTTGTGGCACAAAAGACAACCTTCCATTTTTTTTATCATTTAGGTATCTGTTCTTTGGAACTGTTAAGAAGAATCTGGTTGATTGTGTGAAAGACACATGCAGTAGACATTCAGTGTTCATGAATTGCTCATACAACCATACTTGAAAACCCACTTCTGCTTAAAATGGTGAGCATTGATGACACCATCACAAAAAGAGTGGGTCAGATGAAAACCAGACTTCTGCTGTTGTTTGGAAGCACTTCAGCAGAGTAAACCCAGCTTGTTGACAAATAAAATGAAATACTGGTATGTTGTTTTTCAACCGGGAAAACCATTCTCTAAAAGAAATACCATTACATGGGGGTTTTTTGTGAACAAATTCTTTCTTATCTTCAATCCTCTGAGTTTTACAATAGACTGCAGTGCTTGTTTGCACCATTTCTGTGTACATGGATTATATAACTAACACATCAATCCTTCATGTTTTCTTAAGGAAGTCATGTACTGTGAAAACTTGCCTCTCTTTCTTTTCTAGAAAAGGCATAAATTTTTCTCATTTAAGCAGTGCAGAAATGAAGAATGTATAACATTTTGCACCAAAAAAAGATGGGTAATTTTTCCCAGGATACCTGCTTGTATATGACTGACATGCCATGAGCTGCAAAACCCCACAGACTCTTGCTGGTGTCTGCACAGGCTGGCTGTGCTGTGGGTCATAGGAGCACAACAGCTAGCGGGGAAACACAGCCATTACACAAGATAATACAGCATCTGCTAATTAGAGAACCAGCCCTAGAAGAAAATGAGCACCAGAGGAGTGATTATACAGCTGGCGACCGATCTTAAATATGCACACAAAAGAAGTTAGGGAAAAGATTAAGAATGTTTATTTTGGGTTACTGGTTAAAAATCCAGTCTAAGTAGAAAAGGGAGGATTGCAGTTGGCTGCAGCCAGCAGGACAACTGCACAGCTCTTCAAAAAAGGCCGAATTCTAGCAGCAAGCACACAGAGATTATACTGCAGAGGTGTCAAGGGTTCTTCTGTGTGAGCAGAAGGAACCCATCAAGGATGAAACTTTCCTGCCTTGGATCCCTCCCTCACCCAACCCCCTTCATCAGTGCAGCCTCCATTTTAACCTAAGTTTGGTGATTTTCTGTTGCATAATGATCACAATTAGAATTTTTAATTAAGACAATTATAACCGGTTTTGCAATTCTCCAACAACTGCATGGAATTTAAAAGATATTTTAAGAGTAAAGTGATTATTGTAACACTCTGTCTTATCCTAACTTGTTAGAATTGCAATCAAATAACTTGTCATCAAAAAACTAATTTGGAGATATTCCTTTATAACTCTTGTAAATGAAAAAGTAACAATACAGGCAACAACAGAAGAAACAAAGCTGTCATTCCTTTTAAGCAGAATTGTAATATAAGATGTCATACACTTCAAAAGCAGACCTATAACTTTAGTTATTCTACCCATACAGCAATAGGAGCACCCACAGTTTTGAAGGGATAAGGATGATAAGCAGGATATATAATCTGACAGGCTTCATAGATTTTGGTAGCCTTATTTATAATTTCATTTAAGGAAAAAGCACTACTGATTTTTTAAGCTGTCTTCTTAATAAAACATTAAAATAATTTCTCCACTTACTCCTTCCATATGAATGGAAGCAAGAAGTTGGTCACCATATTCACTCATGTTGACCACTACTCACAAAGGCATTGAAAAGCTGCCTTTCCTAGTCAATATAGGTCTGGATATATTCCAGTCAGTCAACCAGATAGCCCAGCATTTAATTGCATTTTGGTTTGGCTTGTTTTGTTAAAAAAAAAACAAAACCAAAAAACCAAAAAACTTGACTTACTGAATGATGCTGTTTTTTCAGAGCTTTTTTGAAATCAAAATGTCAGCCTGATAGTTTAAACTGCCTAATAATGGAATTATAACTCCTAAATGAAGCTTAGTGTTCTCTGGTTTTTCTTTTGTATGTTGGCATTCCCACTGAACAACAGTCTGCTAAGACTGCTTATTTTAATATTAAGGTCACAGCAGTTTTAGTCAATTTGAGCACTTCAACAGAAGTTGTGCTGGAACATAAAAGCCGTCTGTGAACTTAGTTTTCTCTCCATAGCTTAGATATAGTGTAAACTGATAATTTTAGTGACTTATTACATTGTCTCCTCTATCTCATCTCTGTTCTTTACACAGTGGTGCTGCTTGTGTAAATGCAGATAATCCAATACTGTGAAATGGCTGGAAAATAACTGAAAACCCAGTTATTTCAGCTTCAGAGCAAAACCCCTGGCAACAGTATCTTCGAGTAAATTAGCTTAACATCAAACAATTCAACTACACTGAAGCTGCTCCATACCTGGTAATGCATTAGTATGTGCATGATGTAATCATAGATTTCTCCAGCAAGTCGGTTTTCTGGTCTCCAGGGAATAATAACAAACTGAATTCCCAGTAAGGGCACCAGGATTAAAGTAGCTCTGACAGCTTTCATATACATGTTGGACTCAGCACGGTGGGTATCTCTCAGCTTTGTCACCAAAACTCGGACAATATTCAGCAAAAAGAAAAAATTGACCTGCAAAAACAAAGCTATTGTAGGTGAAAGCATTTAAACAGACATTCAAAATAAAAGCACCAAACACATAAATGACAGTAAAGTGTAGCTTTCTAGCTTTATTGTATCTTATAATGGGCAGTTCCTTGGCAGTCAGGTCTTGAAAAATATTTTGAATATTTTCAGGAAAGATCTATTAAGCAGTTCTACATGCTTTGGAGCCTGCATGGATACTTCATGCAGCCAGGGGTCAGTTCTAGGATGCACTGGATGTTTTGACACTGATGTGGGCAAATTCAGGGTTTCCAGGGAACACTAAATACTATTTTCATACTGGAAGTTTAAATGGGGTGGACAAATTGTCCCCTGGAAATAACCACATCTCTGTCCTGACAATTGCCAAGCTCTTTTGCCAGTTGGGATAAACTCCAGTATGTCCCAGGACACATGGGACCTATGGGAGCACACAATTTCCCTAAGGAATATGCTCCACGGACTAATGCTTCAGGCTTGTCTGTGAGCAGGGGTGTAAGGCTCTTTTTGAGGAAAACCTAGGGCATCTCTTGCCTCCACGAGACTGCAGGGACCCCGTGGTACTCTACCCACAGGGGACAGGTAACTCTTGCTGTCTCAGGGAAGAAAATTTTGCCCCTGACCCTTATGATCAATGATACCAAGTAGTTCAGCATCTCCTCTCAGTTACTTCTGGAAATCTGATCTCAGCATAAAGTAACCTGCCCTTGACCCTGGATGCACAGAGAGCTCCTTGTGGGATGTGCTGAGAGCCTGCAGGAAGAGGGAGGGCAGACCCAGGCTGGTAATGAGTTCAGTGGTTACCCTGTGGACATCCCTGGAACACAGATTCCTTGGTCTCCAGTGTACCCAGATCACTCATTTCCACTCTGCTACAGTAAAATCAGGCACTGACACTTTGGAACTTTAACAGACTTTCCTTTTTCCTGCTAATTTTTTGAAATAAGTATGTAAGTGCATAACTTTTATAATATCTCAAGAGCTCAAAAAACACGCACACACACACACACACACACATATATATATATATATATATATAATATATATATATATATACCAGAAATTTCAGAATTTCAGTTGATTTTTTTTCAGAACAGTGAATCAGCAAGCTCTGGTAAAACATTTTATCACTTCTAAACTACACAGGGAGACCTTTCAACTGTTTTACATTTGTGCTCTACTGGAAAAGAGGAATAATACATTACTTCTGAGGTCCCAGTCAACATTAAATCTAAACCTTATTCTCCATCCTGTTCTGACTTCACTCACTCTGCTTAACATCCACTTTTAGATTGTCTGAAAGTAACTGTAAAAAGTCAAAGAAAGACTTTACAAAGTTAAAAACACTCAGCTCTTCTGAATCAGTCTGCCACTATGGGATTTTTTGTAGCAAATCAAGCAGGACATACTGTAGACATTGATATCTTCATAAGAAAAGTAAGTCTGGAAATGGCATAAGCACAATACAGAAATATTAATGTCTTGTTTTGAAAACAGGTGAAGATTGCTCTTTTTCCATAATAGTTGCTTCTTTTTTCTTTGTGGCCAAGATATACAGACTGGGATCACAATGACAAAAATAAAGGTTAAATAGCCTCTCTCATATGGCAATTGGCATTACAATAGCAGATACAGTTGGACCAATAAACCCATAATAAATGTGATTGTATGGGACCAACAGACTACTTATAAGGGAGGGAAGGATGGGCTATTAAATATAGGTGATGTTAAAGAGTGCTTCTCCAGAAAGGGTAGAAAGATTTTTTTGTTTTTACAGCTATGATATGGAAAGTTGTTTATTCAAATTTTCCAAGTACTAACTGTGCTATTGTTCTCTGAGGCAATTATTGCAGGTAAGTCATGCAGGTGTTTGCAAGTAAGAGGCAGATAAAAAGATGAAAGTGCATCTTGGGCGACACAGTGAGATGAGCCTGGGGCTTGGGTTGAGTAAAACCCTTCCTGCACCTGTCAGGAAGGTCAGGGTTACCATGCCCAACTGCACAAATGGCATATCAGATGCTATATGTATGCACATTGCCAAACTGCACTTGGAATCTTGTCCTCCTACTCAAACAGCCCAGTTTGAGTTCTTTCCCTGGACTCTTTTATCTCCCTACCTTTGGAACATACCAGTCCGTGATCAGAAGAACCCATGCTGAGCAACCAGCTCACCCCAGCTAAGGCACAGTTAAATTATTCATGTTGCTTAAATGCAGTGTATTCCTCTCAAGTCCCACAGGAAAAAAGTGTTGTGAGCCTGTCCTTTATAACACTGAGTAGAAAAAACCTCTAGTTACTTCTGGGTTTTGACCAAAATACTTATAGTACAGAAGCTTCTATTTTGTTCAGGTTAGCAGCCTTTCTAAAATACTTATTATACTGTTGATAGCAAACAATATTCTTACCAATAAAGCTGCCATTACAGGTCCGTGAACAATATAAAGCAAGTGTGTGTCAACACTCATCCAGCAACTGGAGGAGAAATACAGCATAAACATTTGTTATTAACTTGAATAAAATTTGCTGCACAGTTAAACAATGCTAAATTCCTTCAAAAACAGATGTGCTACTCACTTGTCATTGAAGTATCTGGCTCTTGCAACTGCGTGAATGGTTGCTGGCACTAAAGGGAACCCTGAAATGATTAAATTTATAGATCAGTCTTGGAATTTGTTTAGCTTGACTTTAATGTGTGTCACACACTAATAAGTCTGTTGTTCACAAAACATATGGATGTGAAATCACATCTTTCAGGAGAGAATTTATCCCATCACACCCATCCTGGCAACACCTCAATGATGAGATACAAAAGGGAGGCCAAAAGGAAGAGCAAAACCCACAGACCAGGCTCTCCTGCGGTGTCTCAAAGCTGCTGCCAGGCTCCCCTGCACTGCTGTGGCTTTTGCAGGGAAGGGTGTGAGCAGGGAGTGTGGGAAGGATGTAGGGATCATTCTGTTCTCAGAGGAGTCTTCCCTCAGGGAACCAGGGACATTTGTGACAATCATGTAAATAACTGTTGAGCAAGAGAAAGGCACATTGACTTCCATGCCTGATTATGGAGCAATAAGAAACAGAGTGAAGAGTTTCTCTTTTGGAGCCAATGTAATGAGAACGTGTTTGGAGCTAGGAGGTTTTTGGAGGATGGGAATTTGTGGTATATTCTGTAGGTTCTCAGCATCTGTGCAGCCAAGCCCACTCCATGCAGCTTTATGTCAACAGGGAGAAAAGATGTGACTACCATTAATCCACATATTCTGACTTATTTGTGACACCTCAGGGGAGGCTGTGATGGGGACCTGATGGGAGAAAATTTACACTGGGCTTGGCAACATGTCATGCTTAAAAAAATGGGAAGCTCATGCTCTTATTTCCTGCTTGACACTGAGAGTGACAGTCTGGTCCACTTCTTTTCATTTCCCTTCAGCTTACTTAAATGTCATATCCCTTTCCAGTAGGATAGAAGCCTGGAACTGGGGAGCCTGCACTACGGTGCTGAGCCCAGTTTGTGCAGCCTTGCACATACAGACAGCCAGACACGATCTGCTGCCTTGTCTGTCTGTGCAGAGAACTTGACACACACCTTTGGTGCTACTGCTGCCTGTTCTCTATGAAACACTGACCCTTCTACTGAGCTTTGGATATTCTACAATTATAAATTAAAATGTGTGAAAATATCCTATTGATACCATGATTAATCACGGAGGGATTAAAAAGCTCCTGTTTTTTCACATTTTAGTGGTTTCATAAAAATATTTAGAAGAGATGGAGGATCCTTAGCCATATTGTGGGAAGTGAAAACAAGGTCCAAAGATACATAAATAGGACACTCTTATGTTTCCAGGCATCTTTAAGCAATAGCTACTTACACTACTGCCAAAAAAAAAAAAAAAAAAAAAAAAAAAAGAGTTCTTATTGCAATTTCCCTTGGGAGGACAATGCACCTGTGGGAGAACAAACTGGATTGCCTTCTTCTTTACATATTTTTAGAAAGTGATTCCTAGGCCTCTGGCTGCAGAATTACCTTTTTGGGTGACAATGCACAGCAAAACAACAAAAAGCTCAGAATGAAAAGAAAGGAGCTTATGACCTCAGGGTGAGCTCATGGGATTGACAGCTTGAGAAAATAATTTTGATTGGGAAATGGAGCAAGTCTGGGCCAGTTTTGTTGGAAGATTGAAATACAATTTTTAAGGGGCCTTTCTGTAATGGCAAAACTTCTTCAGCTGAAAACTGTGGCCTGGAGCATTGCAAGTAGAACATGGCACATGACGTAAAAAGAGCTTTTTTCTTCTAAATGCATTAGCCTGGGATATTTGGCTCAACAAACTCAAAAGCAAATCTCAAGAAAGCAGTGGAAAGTCTTCATTAGCTAGTCACAGGCTAAGAAGCTCATGACTCTCTGAAGCTCAGATTTCCAGCTGCAGGCTGGATGGGCTATTCTAGGGCTAAGTGTTGCTCTTGTAAAGGGCCAAAAGGCAGAGAGTAGCAGAGAAGTGGAGCATCAAAGACTGTGGGGTTGTGGTTACGTGTACCACAGTCCCACCTGCACACGGTGAGCGGTGAATACTGCAGAGAAGGTCCCCAGCCATCCCAGGGACAGATAGGACACATCCCTTTAGGTCATGCCAGGTCCTTTACAGCACAAACTGGCAATTAGATCAGCATTCCCAGTACAGTTTGGAAGGCACTCAAGTTTCAGCACTGTCCAAATAAATGATTCCCTTTTCACTTTTATGTGGGTGAAGCTGCCTGAAGCAGCCAGAATGAACTGTACATTCAGTACAGTTGATAGTGTTTCCTTGTCCTGGCCAACGGTGATTTCCTGACCCAGAAAAACAATAACAAATAAGAAATGACATCCACAGCAGCGGTTCCCAGAGAAGAGGTCAGCTGATGGCATCAGCCTTGAAATACATCTGCCCATGCCAAATTCCATTCAACCATCTCAAACCTTTTGTAGGTATTTTTATTTTTGCTCAGATTTTTATTTTTCTTATAAGACTATTTTACAAATATCATTAGTGGCTTTTCCAAATAAAGTAGGCCAGATCTTCTTGCATAGATATTAGCAATAGCAATGAACAATGAGTAGCTTCGTTTTGGACATTTGCCTTGATCTCTTGAATTGTAATTCAGAGCACAGCCTGCTCTGGTTCCTCTGTATTGCCCTTTGGAGAAATGTGTCTCTGTCCATTGATTAACATAGATGGATGTTTAAAGTCAAACTGTGGTACTACTCTTTCTGGAATCAATGGAATTACAATGATTCATACAACTGATTACAACCAGATTGTGGTAATCAGACCATTTTGCTAATAATAATAGTATAATAATATGTCTATCTACTTGAGTTAGGAGGTGCTAATCATCACCTTTTTTCTTTTCTTTCTTTTTTTTTTTTCTTTCTGTTTGCATGTGTGTATGTGTAAGTATACATCTAGTTTAATAAAAAAGACTGCAGACACCATTGTCAAGAATTATGCCAATTTTTAATAACTTTTTCCTTCTCAAGATATCAGTGCCCTATTACCACTGCCACTACCCTCTGTTTTTGGGGCAACTCTCAGATACTGATGAGTGTCTTATCAGGTAACTTCACTGAATTCCCCACTGAGCTGCTGGTGCCGTTCTCAGCACTACTACACCTGAATCATTAGCTTAGGTTGCAGGCTGGATGTCACAGGTGCATTAAATTGCACTGCCTAAATTGAATGGGACCAGAAAAAAAATATGTCTGTGACCATATTGCTCTTCCACAATTGGATATAGAGTGACACTATTTTGGGAAGGCTTATTCTGTGAGACATGAAAAAGCTTTGTCTGGAAGAAAATGTTTAAAATGACTTGTCACATTGGGTTGCTGTTTCACATCCCTATGAGACTTTTTATATTGAAATATTCTGAGCTATGAGATTTTTGTGACAGCACAGCTGCTTGCTCCAAGAGGACTCAGCTATTTGGATTGGCAAGGTCCAGAAACTCTAACTTGATTTAGGGCTCTTCAGGAAGGTTGTCTTCATTTAAGAGCTGATAATGTTTCACATACTTATAATTCCAAAAGCATTACAAGTGCCTCTCTTAGAAAAGATGCCATTCTCATAAGAAAAAAGAGTGCATGCTGGTGTTCTCATTAAGAAAAAACCCAACAAACAAACAAAAACCATCAAAGACAAATTATTACATGCCTGGAGACTGCTATCTGGCACTACAAAGTATATAAACTAGAAAATCATGTTAATTTTCTTGGTATGTAGTGTAGGTATCCAGACAGCACTAAGCCTTGTATCGTAAGAGGAAAGTAGATGACCAGATTTTAAAATGAAAATCTAGATACGGGATAACTTTGCTGTTACTGCCTAGTTAGGGTCAAATATCAGATGCCTAATGTGTGTCTGAAGATAGTGATTTAAATTTCTTTAGAACATCTAGAACTGGGTAATTTTCCTTTGATCTAATTACTTAGTTATCTAATTATCCATTTATCTGATCTAAAAATTCCTAATTTTTATTGGTTTAAGCAATAGGGCTATTTTTCTCTTTTCCTGCTGTAAATGAAATAATCTTGAAAAAGTACAACTTCACCAAAGAGGATGGCAAATATAGAATAAATTGTGTCTGCTGCAAACAGGATTGCAGGAACATCCCTTTGTGCAGTGGGACAATGGGTAAAGGTCCATTATTTGCTGCTTTGCTGCACCAGTGGTTTCAAGATAGGGGAGCTGCCTTACCAGAAATTGGAATAGGGCCAGAGATTCATGTTGCCAAATTGGAAGAAAGCTCTTGATATTGATTTTCTGTCAACACTGATGTGGACTGGATTTAAAATAGTGATTTAAATGTAAAAGATTAATTTTAATATACTGATTATATTCATATGGTCTTTTATTGGACCAGATAGTCCAAAGGAAAAATATCTCCTGCTACCCATTAAAAAGGCAAGGGGTCCTTTAAGAAAACAGAAAACAGAAGAGAATGCATATTCAGAGATGAAGAATCAGACCTAGTCATGGTTCCTTGGGCAGTATGCATGTGACCACATGCTGTTGGACAAAACCAGTCCTGACAGCAAAGCCATTACCTACTTAGTAGGTAAAATCATTTTTTTCTTTTAAATCAACATATGCAAAACTGTATTTGATACTGGATTCACTTCCAGAGAAATTCTGCTTCCTCTTTGTATGCTGTGTATTGCTTCACTCTGTGAGACACAGATACTGATCTTTCCACTTGATTCCAGGAAAATTATACTTTATAGGTATTGTCACACATTCATGTTTTTGCATATATGTGACAAAAATAAAAAACTTTTCTTTCAGAAAAGAAGTATACTTGAATAGAGATATATTTTCTCCCATAGCTTTTCTTAACAGATCTTAAGCATTTCTTTCTGCAAATCCCAACATGCAGCAAATAAAAAATACTTTGTTGTGCTGTTTTTTGTAAGTATCTAAGCCCATGTAACTATATGCACTCAAATAAAGGGTCCAAGAACTCAGTCTTAAGCTATGATGTAACAATATTAACTAGATCATAAATGATACTTAAGTGCTAGAAGAATTCAAAAATCTGAGTGTACTGACCATCTTGCTACAAATGGTAGCATACATACCCCAGCCCAAGAGGTAATACCAGTGCAAACGCTGCTCTTCGGCAAACACTGCCACCACGATCAGCGTGTGAAGATAAATGCCTTCGCAGAGCATCCAGAAGTAGTTGCAGCCCAGCATGTACTGATGAAAGAATTGCAGCACTTTGCAGCTTACCTGTTAGATGAATGAGAGAAAGTCACACACTTGACCAGCACTTTGCATTTAAGTAGGCAAAGACAAATGTTACTGTTAGGATATAAGAAACCAAAGGGGAACAAAAATTCCCAGCTCTTTCTGGTTTTTGTTTTTTTTTTTTTCAGCACCTATCAGTGAGAAGGATTTCAAATTTAATAAATGAGATGAACTAAAGTAATGAAATTAAATTAAAGGAATTATATTAAATTAAATTAGCCTGGAGAAAAGGAGATTCAGGGGTGACCTTATCACTCTCTACAACTCCCTGAAAGGTGGCTGCAGTCAGGTGGGGGTTGGTCTCTTTCTCTGAGCACCAGCTGACAGAAGGAGAGGACACAGTCTCAAGCTGTGTCAAGGAAAATATAGGTTGGATATTAGGAAAAGCTTTTTTACATAAATAGTGATAAAGCACTGGAATTGTCTGCCCAGGGAGGTGGTGAATCACCATCCCTGGATACGTTTAAAAGAAGACTGGATGGGGCACTCGGTGCCATGATTTTGTTGAGATGTTAGGGCATGGGTTGGACTTGATGATCTTCCAACTTAGTGATTCTGTGATTCTGTAAATTAAATTCTGTAAATTAAATTAAAATAAATTAAAGCACTCACAAAGTAGAAGAGCATTATGATAACAGCACTCCAAAAAACAAACAAACAAAAAAATTTCCTTAAAAACTCAGTAATCTGATGGGGTTTTTTTAGAACTGAAACAAACCACTTGTTCTGGAGGTCAAAGGAGGGCTGTGAAAAAGACAGTAACATCGGGCTCCAGTTTGGATGACTTCCTTTAGATCAAACTTTTCTAAGTTTTTTCAAGGCTTACTTCTAAGCCAAAGTAATTTACACTTTAAACAGCCCCTAGCTATGAATGAATTCTTTTGGAATGTGCAAGCTTTTGTGGCAGCAGAGATTCTTTTTGTAGGTACCAGTGTCTTTAGCACTTTGCCAGGTTACAGCTTTGCTCAATTTTGATGAAATAACCAATTGAGGTGTGGAGCTACGTGGAGCTGGTGAAGTGGTTCCCATGCATGGTTCAGACAAGGCTGCAGACAGAGACCTTGGCAAGGGATTGTGGCTACACATTTCTGGGAAGCAGTGGGCAGAATGTGGAGGGAACCATGTTGTGTCCACTACTGGAGTGCCAGCTGGTGAGGGATGATGCTGCTCCTCTTCTGAATGGGTCTCATGTCCATTTGCTTTCTTAGGGACACCAGTGAGTCCTCCACCTGGATTTCCTTATCACCACAGCCCAGGAGGGCCTGGAGAAGTGGCAGGCATTGCTGTGCTGATAGAGACCCACTGCTTCTGGGGAGCACCACATGCTACCTGGAAATTTGAGGTCATAGCAGTGATGGCAAAGTAACAGTCACCATCTGTGGCCACAGGAGAGTAACTACTTCCCTTAATTTCTGCAGGTGTTTTCCAGGCTGACTACCTGGGCTGTACAAGATGTCATTAGCATGCACTCATCTCTTTCAAGAGACACTTTTGCAGTTCAGCAGATAGGGGACTGCATGTTTTGCATTTGTGTGGACTGCCCCTCTGGATCAGAAAATCTCAGTCATCCAGCCAACCTTCTGTTGCCAATTCCCAATTACCCAAACATGTGTATTTAATTCTGTTTCAATATTTGAAGTGCAGGTTAGTGTTCATGAAAATATAGGTTTATTGATAGCTTAGGATATAGGATTCTGACAAGATTAGTGTGATGAACTGTTTTTTATTTTCTAGCAATTCATGTTCTCTTCTCACCATGCAGGACAGAACAGACTGTTACACCTTTTTTCCACACTGTGGCTGAACAGTTCTTAAAAGTGTGTCCAAAAAGGGTTGTATACTGAACCCAACCCAACCCAGTCAACCACCACTACCACTACAACTATCACCAAAACAAATGATAAGTGAAGATGTATTTGCTCCTTTTTATTGTGGGCAAAAGTGTTCAATAAGGTTCTTATATCATTCCTGGACTGTTTTTCACAGGTCTGGGTCAATATGTTTATTGTCTTGTTTCCTAGCCCACACTCAATGCAGCCTCCTAGCTGGTGGCTTTCCTTTGTCCTTTCTTCCCTTACTGGTCACCCATCCATACCAGGGCTGCCTTGCCTGTCAGGCACTTCCCTCAGTCTGCACAGAGATTCAGGTGCCCTCCCTGGCATCAGCCAGCTACCCTGGCCTCTAAAACGTAAGCAAACTTCCTGAGCCATCACAGCAGTTTTCTGTGTCTGAAGTTTGCACTGTGCCAGCACTGTGCCCCCTTGTGGAGGTCTCCAAGGAGGAGCTGCAGGTCAGAGGGGCCACCTGAGAGCTCAAGGCATTGTTTTCCTCATGGCTCTAGTGGGAATGACTCAGGGTGCCTGCAGGTTGCACATGGGCTGGTCCTGCTCTTGCCAGGGCCAAATTGTTCCAGCATTCCATCCAGTGACCTGGGCTCTAGGAACAAATAGAGGAGGAACTGAGCACAGATGGCGAGTTCTGCAATAAAATCCATGGTACTTCTCAAGTATGTAATTTTGACTTGATTCTTTCCCTGTTTCCTACTGCCCAACTGAAAGGAAGTTGGCTATGGAGGATCCTTGCTCCTCTTTGCCTCTTTGTATGCACTGCTCAGCAGCTCTCTGAGCAGAGACTGACTGAACATACCTTCCACTAGAACCAAGTCAGTCTTTGCTGGAACTTGTATCTGTAGCTCAAAAAAATGCACACAGAAAAAAACAGCTATAGAGATAAGACAGCTGACATATAGAGCTAAGCTCCATTTGCTTAATTTCCCAACATTTCTTACTCTCCATCTGAACTATGACTTGTGGCTTCAAAAATTAAATATTTTACTTATCCTTTAGGGCAATGGACATGCAGACAACACACGACTTCTGATGTAATAAGTTAGAGAAGTAAGAAAACCCTTGGCAAAGAGTAAAGGATTATTATGACTAGTACTTTCATACACATCACATTAATTTGAGAATTTATGTGAAAAAGTTATTATAAGTTTAAACACAGCAGTGCATTAAGGCAAGATGTTAAATTCATATTATTCAAAGGGAAAAAAAATCAGTCTGCTTTGGATGAGGTAACAAATGCAGTGTGTTTCAGCTGTGGCTAAGTGATGCAATGGAAATATTTTCCTACAATAAACAAACTGTTGTTCTTTGGTTAGAACAAGTAAAAGAGATTTTTTAGTAAAAGAGGATCTTTTTACTGATAAGAATTGGATTGGTAAAAATAAAACACGACAAATGTAACCAACACCTTGGTGTATATTAACCTTAATTGAGAAAATAGAAAAAATAGAAATTTTATATAGTGTTTATTGTTACAGAAGCAAGTAAAATAAAACTGCAAGATGATGCAGAAGCAGATTTTCCACCTGTGCAATGCTTAATAACTGATTGTTTTCTTTACTATAATTTATAAATCTTTAATATAATCTGTAAAGGCTGATATCTATAATTTATGAAGACTGATATTTTTGCTATAAGGGTGGTGAGGCACTCAAGCAGGTTGTCCAGGGGGGCTGTAGACTCCATATAGCTGAAAGTGTTCAAGACCACATTGAGTGTTAGAATGAGATGATCTTTAAGGTCCCTTCCAACCAAACCATTCCAAGATCTATGACTGTTTCAAGATTTTATGACTGGTAACTTTGAGATTAAAACATGTGCAGGAAGTTTATTTTCTGCTGAAGACAAGTTATGTTGTAAGTTCTTTGAGGCAGAGGCTCTGTCCTTACTGTGTCTTGTACAATATGCAGGACAGTGAAATCCAGGAAAGGATTATTGCAGCACCTTCACACTCTGAAGGGGAGTTAAAAGTCATGAGCTTTTCAGTCTGCAACCTCAAAAGCAGGTGACTGAAGCTAGTGGGTTTTAATTGGTGAGCAGCACAGGCTGAGAGGAAATAGCAGGTCCTTTCTAGTGCACCCCATAACTGTTGCTCAGGCTGGTATCCTGAACAAAGGAATAACAAATACTCCACTTTTCGACAGTCTGGAAACAGACAGCACTGTCCTGCACTGTTCTGTTGATGGCTATAGCAAGGGTAAGTGTGAAAAAATTATCAGGAAAAAATTACCTCAAAGTCAGCCTTAAAAAAGCAGCTCCTTTTGTGATTCTGGAAGGATGGCCAAGAATGAACCTATTTTGGCAGAATGCAGTGTGGAAAAAACCTCAATCTGCGAGCAAGGAGGCTGCCTCTGGCCACGTGTTTGCACTGCATTGATGGGCACAGAAACTGAGAAAGGTTCTCTACAGATCTGCAGGACAGCATCCAAGAAAAAAAGGAGTCCATTGTTGCTGATTTTCCTTCCTCATAAAAGTAACCTCCAATGACTACAATGATTGTGGCCTAATTACTCAGGGGCAAAAGGGGTCAATAGGAATACAGTTAATCATATTCCTCTCACTTACAAATCTTGCAGAGAGTTATGGAAATCTTGTAAACACCACAGCTGCAGTATGCAACAAAAGCACTTCAAAAGGATTCTGGAATATTTCCCAGAGGAGAAATAAAACAAGTACTCTCCTTTTACAAGAAAGAGATAGAAATGGTGTCTATGATGTTTTGCAGGGCATACTGGCATGTTATAAACACTTTTAATGTTCCAGTCCTGCCCAAGGAGTCCCAGAGGTCCATCTGCCTATGCAGGACCCTGCAATTGCACAATAATGTAATTGGCATAGTGCTCTCCTCAGCTAATCCAGCAGCCTCGCATCACATGTACTTGTAATTTCTCTATTAAGGCTCTCCTTGGTTATTGGTTAATAGCTTATGGACAGAAAACTGCACCATTAACTATACCACTTACCCTCATAGGGGCAAGTCAAGTAAAAACTCTTGGACTGCATAAAACCCACAATTCCACTTTCAATGATAATAACAAAATTTAATATGAAATAAACCTGCTAATTATTTGAGGAAGGTTGTCCTAGTAATTCAGCCAGAGCCTGAGGCTTGACTCCATTTTGGCACAGTAAAGT